TCAGGAGGTGGTCTTGCAGTGCTGGGGTGAGCTGGGCGGGAGGCATAGGCCCCTGCAAGGCCGCCTGCTTCCCTCCCTCGGGCTTGCTTTCTTTTGCTTCCTTTAATTATTTGATGTTGGTAGATTTTGGCTTGCCTGAGCATTAATCAGACTCTGTTTTTGCTTAGAAACTTTAAAATCCCTGAGATTTCCCAGCATTCTCCTGTGTACATGTGCATACACATGTGAATGTACACACGTATGTATATGCATGCACATGGGTGTGTTGGATCTCGGTTCCCATACACTGGGTTTTGTCCCTTCACTTTCCTGGAGATCCACCTGTACTGTCTGTGATGCGAGGCACCCTCGCCTCGCGTGCCTGCAGTCGGCCTCGGGCACAGCGCCCCGCAGCCGGCCAGCGCGGCCCCGTGCAGGCCAGTGTTGGCATTGCCCCCGAGTTTGGGACAGGCCACTCTGTGTTGCAGTGACACGGAGCAGACAGTCTCGGGGTTGAGGCGTCAGAACAGTCAAGGACAGTCTTAGTCAACAAATACTGTGGTCGATCTTTCCTGTGCTTCCGGCTGCAGAGCCTGAACCACACAGAAGAGAAATCAGCGGAAGCCCCACTCCTGACGCCTGGGCCACCGAGAAATTCTCTCAGCCCTGGCGCGAGGCTTTCTGGGACTTTAATCCCATGAAATTCAATATCCCTCATGTTTCTTAGGGGGAAAAAAAGAACAAATTCTGGGAATATCTGCAGGATGTATTGGATGAAAAGGAATCGCTGTAGTGCAGGGTCAGTCGTCAATAAATGTGGCAGCATCACGGCCAGAAACAAGCGTGAGCCGTGGACGCCCCAGCAAGGTGAGGCCTGCAGACGGCTCACGAGGGGGACCCAGTAGGGAGTGGGGCCTCAGAACAGAGAGGTAAGCGTGCCTCCTGCCTCCCTACGATACCTTAGCGGCCCAGAGGAAGTCAGAATAAAAAAGAATCTCTCTTATATGCAGGATTTTCCAAACTGTAGCTGGAAGGGAAGTGATTCACTGGGGTGCTGTGCAGACTGGGGTGCATGGAGGGAGCTGGGCTGCGTGGGGAGGGAGGGGCGGCGCCGGGCCGGTAGGGTGATGGTGTAGGGTTTGTGAGCTGGTTATTTGGAATAATGTATTTCCTGGGGAAATGCAGTTATACTGGTGGCTCAGCCATTTTTCTCATAACGTTTCTAATGCACAGTACTAGGCCCTACTATTTTAGGTCACACTCAGTGTTTCCGTGGGAAAATGCAATAGTCCAGATCTGGGACCTCGATAGCCCCTGTCGGCCCCCATGCTGCACCAGGCCTCGGGCTGCAGCCTGTGGTGATGGTCCCTGTCCGGCCAGGGACCTGGAGCCCGCGGGGGAGGGGCTGGGTGCTGGGGAAGGCGGAGCTCCACAGCTTTCTGCCAGCCCTGGGCGCTCCTTGCAGCTCCTCTTGTCCAGGGATCCTTGCACCGCCCACCGCCTGCTCCCCTGCTGCGGCTGCCCTCATCTGCTGCTTCCAGACAGAAAACGTTCTGTGTGTTGTCTCTTATAACAGGTGAATGTGTAGCGAGTACAGTGCCTAATACATCACAGGTACTCAGACATTTCTTGCATGATTTATTGGTCCTTAAAATAAGCCCATCATCCTTATGAGGCATTCATACTTGTTTTTCTTTAGCGCCAGTATAGAAGTCAATGGGTTCAGTGTATACTGGGCAGACTGGATGATTGAATTGGAGGAGCAGACGTCCAGCTGACTCCTATCACAGGCCTGGAGTGAGCAAGGCCTTGGTCATGGCTGCTCCAGGCTGCACGATCCCCTCCTCAGCTCCCCCTGTGGGAGACAATCTGACCCTTTCTGCCTCTCCGTCTCAGGGCCGGCGCCTGGGGACCCGCCGAAAGGCCTGCAGTCAAGCCGGGTCTGTGCACATTTCAGATGAGCATCCACACTCAGTGTCCTGCGGCTGGGTCAGCTGGTGGTTCTGCTGCCTCCCATTCAGCAGGCAGGGAGGGAGCAGTGCTTGGAGTGAAGTGTGTGGACAAGCTGTTCCAAGGAGTTGGAGGAAGATGGAAATACAGACAGGACAAGTGTTGGGAAGGGAGGTGCTGAAGGATGGCTGGCTTTGCCCACCTGCAGCCGCCCCACAGCCCTGGGCCACACGAGAGGCAGGGCCCGGAGTGTGCCAGCTAGCAGGACAGAGGCAAAGTGGTGGTGTGGAGAGCACCCCCAACCTAGGACTCGGGTCCTAGCCTCATTGTGTCCCCAGCCAGGTCATCTGTCCTCTCCCAGCCTCCACACAGACTGGAGGACAGGTGACAAGACCACCCTCTCAGGCCGGCATTCTGAGCAGGATGTGTGACTCTGCTTCCAGCAGCTGCCTGCTGGCCTGGCCGAGAGCCGTGCTGGGCAGTTCCGGGTTGGCATGGGAGGGGAAGGTGCAGACTCCAGGCAGGCTGTGCCACACTTCACTTCTCTGAGCCTCGGGTCCCCCATTTCAAAGCAGAGATGCCGATGCCCATCCAGGTGGCCACCGGTGGAAGGACAGATAGCCACACGGGAGTGTCCTGAAGGACAGAGCGTGTCCTCGCCTTGTGCGTGCATTGCTGGGACATGGTGAGACACGCCTACTCTGAGGGCTGTGCCGGTCCTCAGCTCACCCACCACCTGCCCAGAGGTCAAAGGGAGTGGTGCTTACGAGTCGCTGGTGATCGCATTTTAGAAGGAAGTGCTGCTTTGCGGGGCACAGAGTGGAGAGCAGGGCAGTAAGGCCAGAGTGCGGGCCTGCTGGGGACGGTCCGGCTCAGTGCCGTTTGGGGTGCTGAGTGTGGCGGCTGTCACAGAGACAGAACCTAGCACTGAAACGCGTTAACTTCTGTTTGCCATGAGCTTGACTGCATCTTTGCCCTTAGAACTAGTGGACCAAACCCTCTATTTCCCACATCTCCAAAAAGGCCAGCCAGTGGCAGTCAGGGCCCCGACTGGGCGGCTCCCTGCACTTGCTGGTGTTCCCGGTCAGCTTTCCCTGTTCAGGTCGTCTTTTTAAAAACACTGTTTCCTGGGCGTTTTCTGGTTGTTAGAACAGTAGTGCACCTGTGGACATGTCAGAGCAGGCCAGAGAGTCTGAAGAAGTCAACCGCACGGTGTGTCCTCCAGCTCCTCTCAGGGTGGCCCTCTGGTCACCCAACCCTCCTCTGCCTCTTGTTAGCAGAAGGCTTTGTCTCCTTTAACACTTGCTTACCTGATGCGCCCTTTTCTGATTCATGTCCTATTTCTGTCTGGATGTCCTGTCCCGCACACTGTCTTCTGTGCGGGGAAGGGCCCAGGAGGCGGGTCCACATGGCAGAAGCTGAAAGCCTTTGTGGTTACAAGACAGTAAAGACACATGTGCATGTGCATGGCAGTGCCCACGTGCCTCTGTGCTCGGACGCTGTCCACTCTGCACCAGCCAGTCGGGACTGACATCTGTTCCAGGAGGCGGCGCTGAGTGCCGTTGACGTTGTGTTTCATGGCGTTTATCCAGGTGTGCTGAGCACCAACAGACTCTAGATTTTTGTAACAAAGAAGGTTGTACATAGACCTGTGATAAAGCAGTGTGTTTTTTAAGAAAGGAACACGTCCCCCTACCCTAGCACGTCAAGCTGGCAGGTCATGTCTGTTGAGAACACTGGATATAGTCAGTATTACACACACATACCATGCACACGCAGCACATACACACACACATGCAAGCACGCACGTACGCTCATGCACGCGTACGCACACATGCACGCACGCACGCACGCATAAACACATGCGCTGTCTCTGGCTTTACTTCTGAGTTGCGGAGAAACCAGAGTCCCTGCACAGCAGAGCGCCGTGGACATCACGGAGGGGACAGAGGGAAGAGAGCACAGTGCCTGCTTTTGTTCAGTGCGTGCAGTAGGACCTCGCAGCCAGCAGGTGGCGGAGCAGGGCCACTTGTCACCCCTGCTCCATCTGTGAAAACACCATTGCCCTGCCCCAGCCCTGGAGCCCCTCAGGCAGCTGCTGGGGGCTCTTTGTCTGCAACCCTGTTGCCTGTGAGGGTCCCGTGGGCTCTCCTCTTCCTGGAGCCGCCACCAGGTCTCTAAGTCCCAAAGGTGTCTCTGCACACTGTCTTCTCAGTCCCCATCCATGGCTCCTGTCAGCACCCCTTTTGGTCTTACAGTCCAAAGTGTGGCAGCCTTCCCCCAGCTGTGGCACTGGGTCCCTCGTGCAGATGGGAGGGACAGAAGAAAGGGGGTGGTTGGCTCCCCTGGCACGTGGGGGGACAGCAAAACGGACTGGTGGACGTCGCCTGTGTGTGGCCATGTTCCCCCCACACATCCCAGCTCAGCATTCGAATCACAGCAGATGTCAGGGCACCGCAGCCCCTCACAGGACGGGTGCTCTCTGCAGGCCCCCGCCACACCCTCCTCACCTTAGACTGTCCGAGCAGAGTCCCCTGGAGTGGAAGTTTGGCCAGTTGCCCGAGGTTGCCACCTGCAAACCTGGAAGCAGTTGACACACGTACAGCAGTATGTTCCACAGAGGAGCAGACCTGTCTGGGGCTTTGGGCATTTTTGAAGAGGAAACTGAAATCCCAAAAGGCCATGTAAGGTGATGCCCAGTGCCACCACCCTCACAGCGGGGGCTGGAGGAAGGAGCCGCCTGCCACCGGGAAGGGCACACGGGGCATGGGGAGTCCTGTCCTTAAGCAACGAGCCCCGTAAGGGACGGCCGCCCATACCCAGGTCTGCTCTCACTCAGTTTTTGTGTCAAAAAAAGGGCTTAATTCATTTGTAGACTTTGTTTCCCTTGTTTCTGCTTCTCCATTTCTTGTATTTTTTTCTTTTCCTCCTGTTTGTCCTTTCTCAATTTTATGCTTTTTGTCCTCTGCTTGTTTTTTATTTCACTGTCTCCCTGTCCCTCTTCCAAACTCCTCCTCTTCCTTTTTGTCTTTCTCCATCTCCTCCTCTCCCTTGTTTGGTCCTTTTTGAAGTTGGGCCCAGTGGCGGGACTCCACGGCGTAGACCTCTCTCCTTCTGCCCTTGCTGTGTCCAGGAAGGTAACGTAACCCCTACCTCATCCCACTGCCTCTCAGGCCATAGCGACACTAGGCAGAGGGGCCACACAGCCGTCTCTCTCCTCCTCTGACACTGATAGTCCTGTTACAGGACTTCACGGGTATGTGGCAGTTTCTTACGAGGTACAGTATCCCTTCGACTGGCTCCGGGGAGGACTGGGGTGGAGAGTGAAGCCGGAGGCCTCCCGGGCAGGCCCCAGACTGCAGCAGAGAGCCCTGCAGTACCCCACCACCCTTTGTGGCCGGGCCTCTCGGGCTCAGCCGGCAGATGGAGGGGCCAGGTCACAGGGGAGGAGCCTCCGCGTGGCCATGGTTTGCTTGGTGGAGTCGAGGAATACTGTCCTTACGAAGACTGGTCTCTGCAGATGCCCTGCGTTCTATTCCCAAACAACCACTACATGCAAATTCTCTCCCTGTGTCTTGCTGAGTGTGTGTGGTGTTTTTTTTTTTTAAGTTTGTCTGATTTGAAGTCTTTTGTGGTGATGAGATTGTCGTTTAAAAGGCATGTGGGAAGGGGAAGGGGTGTGGTCGCGACTAACCCTGCTACCTCCCTGCTCTCCATGGTGCTCACAGCGGACACTCACCCACCACACACTCTCGCTCATTGGCTGTGAACAATCTCTACCAGAGCTCGCGAGTGGTGTTCGGATGTCTCCCTGTGGAATTCTGGGCGGCGGGGAGGAGGGAGACTTCCTGGTGCACTCCCAGCTTGCATGCCTCAGGCTCCACCTCCATGCCACGCGGGCACACTGTGCAGAGATGCGCAGAAAGGAATGCGTGGAACTGCGCTGCAGGCTGCTTTCACAGCCGAGGGCCAGGTCATCGGGCGGGGCAGAGCGTGGGTCCCGGCACTCGGCGCCTCCGCAGTCACAGCTCCCCCAGGCAGCAGGGGGCGGCGTCCTCCAGAGCAGGAGCCCGGCCAGCTGCATGTGCACCGGAGTGCGCTCACGGACGTCCTGCTTCTGTGCGCATTCGTCTGCCTGTCCACAGTCTGGACCCCCAAAAAGCCTGAGGGCTTGGGCTCCTGTGTGTGGAGCAAACCACACTGCAGGCAGAGAGCTGACCTCGGGCAGTGTGCCAGGAGGTGAGGGGCGAAGAATGTAGGCACGCAATGAGTGAGGAGCTGGACACACGAGCCTCCCACCGGGAGGGTGAACCCCACGTCTAGGTCTGATCTCGGCTGGCACAGAGCATCCAGCCAAGTGACTCATGAAATGGAAAGCACTTTGCAAGGTTTCCCAGGCCAGCACCTCTTCACCTGGGGCCTAGGGATAGGTGTCAGGAATCCCTGAACACCCTGACATTCTGTATGAAGTTACTGAGTGTATATAGGTGCATGTTTTCCTACGAAGAGAGTCCTAGCTTTCCTGAGATTCTCAGAATGGTTCGTAATCCAAAAATACTGAAGAAGCTGACATAGTCTGTCGTCTGCCTTCAGGCAGGACCACACCACGGCTCTTCATGCTGCAAGGAAAAGGCGTTTTCCCTCTTTGGGTGGCCTGATTCCTTGGGAAGTTCTTCCATCAGCCTACTGCTGTGGGGCAGCCCGGCTGCTGTGGGTGAGGCCAGGCCCCAGCAGTGTGGTGCGCAGGGCGCCCGTCACGCCGCCTCGGGCCTGCGGGCTCTGCCCTGGCTGGGGTGCCTGCAGGGCCCACGGGGAGACGGGTCAGGACAGAGGACACGGGGAGGCCCCGAGGGGCAGTGCGCAGAAGGAGCTGAGGCAGCGAGTAACTGAGGAGGAGGCCAAGGGTGGTGTCCACATTCACCTCTGCCCCAGAGGCCAGGCTGTTCCCTCGAAGCGGGCCCCGTGCAGCGCAGGTCCCAGATAAATACCAGATCAGTGGGAGAGAGAGAGAAGGGGCGAAGCACTAGCACATAACCGCTGAGCAGGAGACAGGGGAGATCCGAACGGTGCTGACCAGGTTACTGAGGGCTGGGCCTGGGAAGGACACACCAAAGCGCAGGCTCCCTTAGGCCCTGGGGTGGGCGTGCGCCCCTCCTGGGTGGCAGGCAAACTCTGGACCTGGCGTGGGAACGTTCCGGCAGCATCTCGCTCTGCTCTCTTTGCACATTTGCCCCGGTGTGATGATGCCCGCTGGTCAGGCTGGCAGCAAGCCCTCCGTGTGCCCGACACACCTCTCTCTGCAGGCCTGGGCAAGAAGGACGACCCCAAGCTGATGCAGGAGTGGCTCAGGCTGGTGCAAGAGAAGAACGCCGTGGTGCGCTACGAGTCAGAGCTGATGATCTTGTGAGTGGCCTCAGGCTGGGCACAGCTCCTTCCTAATTTAGGGGGTAAGGAGATAGGGTCCCCAAGTCACTGTCTCCCACCCCTTCCCTGCCTTCCCAGCGCCCGGGAGCTGGAGCTGGAAGACCGGCAGAGCCGACTGCAGCAGGAGCTCCGGGAGCGCATGGCAGTGGAAGGTAAGGGGAACGAGGGTGAGCTGCCGCGGGAGGCTGGGGGCACGCCTCCTGGCCCTGCACACCTCGTGTTTTCTCCGGCTGCCCAGACCACCTTAAGACAGAGGAGGAGCTGTCGGAGGAAAAGAAGATCCTGAACGAGATGCTGGAGGTGGTGGAGCAGAGAGACGCCCTTGTGGCCCTGCTGGAGGAGCAGCGGCTGCGGGAGAGGGAGGAGGACAAGGACCTGGAGGCCGTCATGCTGTCCAAGGGCTTCAGCCTGAACTGGTCCTGAGCTCCTGCCCACGCTCTGCTCGCTGGTGTGGAATCCGCCTGACCTGCTGGGCTCTTCCAACCACCTGGCACCTCCTGGGGGTGTGCACTCAGACATCCACGCACCCGACAAGCAGGCTGTGTCTGCTGCGGGGAGCCAAGGGGAGGTGGCAGCCCAGTGGCTCAGCCTCCTTGAAGAGCAGGTCCTGGAGCACAGGTGCATGGGGGGAGGCCTGCCCACTCCCTGAGGGTGCAGTGGCCAGTGCCCCTTCTTGCGCAGAGGAAGCTGCTCCCCTCTGTCACCACCACAGCCACCAGAGTGCACCCCACAGAGAGGAGGGGCAGTGGTCTTCATGCTCTCTGAGCACCACCAGAGAAGCAGAGGAGACACCAGGAAAACCACACGTGAACTCAGACCAGGAGGGGCCGCGGCTAGTCGAGGTGGTGCCTGCCCTGCATCGCCAGAAGCTGGGGGCCCGGTTTCTGAGTTCATTGTGCAAGTAAGGAGGACCCAGGAGGGGTCTGCTGCCCCACACCACACACTGGGCCCAGCTGGCCGAAGCCCAGGCCTCTCTGACTGGCCTGAGGCTGTGTATGCTGCATTTTGCTTTTAATTCACAACCATTTAACACTGGAAAAGACCCTTCAGGAGATGGGTGAGGCTCTGCGTGCCAAGCCCTGTGGACAGACAGGTGCCGTTGCTGTCAGGGTTTCGGCTGGACAGGAGCCACCCCGGCCCCGGCCCTGCGCCTGCACATTGACACGGAGCTGACAATCGGCAGGACACTCAGACACTTCAGACTGATTTTGTCCATTAACTTATTTTTTTAATACTTGAAAAAACAACTTCAATTTTATATCTTTACTAGAGACACGGATCACCTGGCCCTGGTGTGGGGGGACGGGGGCGCCCTCGCCAGCCTTCTCTACAGTGTTACTGACCTGCTGGCATCAGAAGGCGGCCGAGACCCTGGCGGCCCTGCTCACAGCTCTGCCCTCCACCTCCCCCGACCCCATTCTCTCTCGGCGCCAGGCGGACATCGGCACCTACTTGTCCGGGAGACCCCGCAGCCCCGGGGAAGCCTGCTCTGCAGAGGGCCCTTTCCCTCAGCCCTGACACAGGGCTTCTCGCCGCCACACATTTCATGAGGAAAGCTTGGGGGTGGCCCTCTGCCAAGCTGGCTGAGAGAGTGCTTGGTGGGGCCTTGTGATCTGTCTGATTAGGGTTCCCTCAGCCCAGCCTCAGGTCCCCCAGGTGCACATGCAGGTGGGCCACAGACACTGGGGCTTTGGATGATCTCTCCAAACAGATAGCAGCTCCAGCCCAGACGTCCGCAGTTCGCAGATTTTCACGGGGAGACAAGGCGTGATGAGCACCCTAAGAGCCAAACTGCTTATTTCTTTTGGCTCAGCCACTGTCTGAGGAACCCTGGTGGGGCATCACTTGTTCATCCAAAGACTTAGCACGTGGTGAGCCCAGGGAGGAGGCCCACCAGCCAGGCCAGGCTCGGAGGGTCCTGTAGCCAACTCCTGTCCCGAGGGCAAGACGGGTGGGGCGTCGTGCTGACCGTGGCAGCCCCGCGGGAACCCACACCGTGCCTCCGCCTGACCGCCATCCTCACGCAGAGGGCGAGGAACCTGGCTGCTGCCCAGAGCTGCACCCGCCGTGGAAACGCGGGCTCTGGCTTCACTTCCTGTTCGCGATGAGGCGCAGGCTGTTCTTATTCTCTTTTCTTAGAAGGGAGAGAGAAGGGTGTTCTAGATTCCACCTTAAGCCCCAGCCTTCCAATAAAATTGGACTTGGGACAGGACCATTATCGCTGTGTGGCCTTTTCCCTGACCCTCCACCTCTCAAAGGCCGGTGCCACCGCGCCCAGGACCCCCGCCTCCCTCCCTTGGGGGACCCGGAAGCCCTTTACGCAGTGGCTGGGAGGGATGCGGCCCCTCTGTGTGACCTAATGGAGCACGGGCGTGAACGTCACTGTCCGCCCCTTGCTTGGGCCAGCACTGCGTTCTCCCAACGCACACTTCCTTCAGCCACTAGAATGGAGCTGAAGATTTTGCAGAGAAGCTTCAGACACCCACAAGCCTGTGCAATGTCCCCAGCACTGCACTCCCAACACTGTTTAAAGCCCCGTTTTATAATCACTAGTTTGCAGTTTATTTAGCACCCTGGTGACCTGCTGCATGAGATGTTTTCCAGCTCCAGGCAGGCTTTCTCCTGGGAGTTCATCCCCTTGAAGGCAGGGGGTCAGGACACATTTATCGGAAATGCCTGAGGCAGGGGAGCCCAGACACAAGGCTCCAGCAGCCCGGAGTCCACTCCCAGCGGCGGGCTGGCTGGCCAGTGTGAGGCTCTGACCGGACGGCGCCCTGTGGGCCCCAGGCGCTGCTCTCCAGCTTCTTTTGACCAGCAGTGATAAACTTTTTTATCCTTTCAAAAGAGAGGACATTTTTCAGTGGGGCAGGAAGTGAAGAGAATTTAAAGAAAAGAAGGTCTAAGGAAGTAACAGCTGAGCTAAAGGGGAATGGGCCATTTTATGCTCAATAAAAGTTTTAAAAGAAACACACAGTGTATTTTTTTGTTGTCTTTGTTAATCCTCACCCCAGGATATTTTTTTTCATTGATTTTTAGATAGAGTGGAAGGGAGGGAGAGAGGGAGACAAGACATAGATGTAAGAGACACATTGATTAGTTGCCTCCTACACGTGCCCCAACCAGGGCCAGGGATCGAACCTGCAACCCAGGTGTGTGCTCTTGACGGGGAATCGAACCCGCGCCCCTCGTGTGTGGGCCGGTGCTCTGATCGCTGAGCCACACAGAGCAGGGCCGCAGTGTATCTCGAGCCCCTGTGCGGGCCCTGGGGCGAGCCAGGACGCGTTTCCGCCGCTACCACCTCGTGCTCAGGTCAGCGGTGTCCACACAAGTCATCTTATGTCTGATGTATGTGTGGGTGTGTACAGGTTGTTTAAAGACAACTTATTTTTTAGTTTGTGCTTTTTTTAGTTCTCCGTATTAGCCTGGCTCAGCCGCCAGCTGTTACCACTTGAGATGTCTGAAGCTGCCCAAAACCAACCCGGCATTTCTCCGGAAAAGAAGCCTGTTCGAGATTCTCTGAGTCAGAGTGCACCTGTGTCCTGGCGACCTCCCGGCGCCCCCAGGCCTCCTGTGCGCTGGCCCCGAGGACGGCCAGGTCTGGGGGAGCCCGGTCGCCCTTCTTTAGCGTGGAAACACCGGAGAGGCGGGGGCACCAGTCCTGACTCACTCCCCTCCCGGCTACAAGAAGCCTGGCTGCTCCCCCGCTCGGGGGGCCGCAGGAGCTCAGGCTAGCCCCGCGCAGGCGGCTTCCCGGGCCTCCGGCGGGAGGGGACGGCGCAGGTGGAGCCGCACGGCGGCTGGACAGACCGGGCTGCGCCTGGGGCGAACGGAGCCGCCGGTGCGCCTGCCGGGGAGCGAGTGACGTCGCCTCGCCGGCCCCAGCCCGCCCCTCGCGCTCTCGGTGACGAGCGGCGCACAGCGACCCCAGGCGGCAGGAGGTGGTGCGGGCAGGCGCCCGGGAGCGGCCCACTAGGAGCACTGCCCCTCCAAGAAACTCGGATGGCTTCAGAATGCCTCCCGAGCCTGAACCCCCAGGGCCCCTTCTCAGAAACAGCAAATGGAGAGAACGTGCTGTTTCATTTCACGCGACAAGCGAGCCAAAGCGGCCCAGTAAGGAGACCCTCCTTTCTGTTACTGCTCAGGCCCCCACCATGCTCAGTGAGGAGGGCAAGAGGCCACCCTCCTCCACGGGTCATGTCCCACCGGAAACCAGAGCCAAGGAGCCGGGCAGCCCAGGTGCCCCGGTCCCGGAGGCCCTCCAGGGACACTCCAGACAGCCCCAGCTGCGAACTGGCCGGGCGGCCTCTCGTGGCAGCCTCAGCCCTGTGGCCCGCGCCCTAAGGTCCCCATGCGGCTGGGGCTTGGATGGGCAAGCTGGGGCCCAGCTTGTGTGGGGCGGCCACCTCGCCGGCCGCCTGTCCCCGAAGCCACCTGCTGCCGGGGCAGACATGGCAGGGAAGGCGGCCCCTGGGCGTGCGTGCGCAGGCACACGGCCAGCAGGCCCGGACCAAGCCTGCAGGGGCGGGCTGCTAGCTCAGGGGGCTGGCTGGGCTGCAGCTGTGCGGGTGGCTGCCCGCCACAGCCTGGCCTGCAGGGCTCCAGCGCGTGGACCGCCTCGGGGGTAAGCAGACGGCGGCCCCAGGCCCCGGAGAGGCCCCCGAGTGCCGGGTGCGGGGTGAGCAGACTCAGCTTCGCGCCGTGAGGGTGAGGCGCTGGGGCCTGGCCAGGCCTGGGCGGCAGTCGGGTGTGAGACAGGCTTGTCCCCGCCACGTCTTCACTCAGACGCAGCCCAGGCGCGCACTCGGCTGGCCAGCGGCGCCCTCCCGTCCCCCCGGGCTGGTGACCCGCGACAGGGAGGGCAGCCCCGAGGGTCCCAGGTCCCTGAGTCGGCCTGTCTAGACGCGCAGGCATCTTCCGGACGGTAGCTAAGGTTCCCCGAGGAGAGGAGAAGCCAAGGGGGGGGCTCCAGCACCCCATACGGCCTCCGGTCATCGCAGGTCACCGGGTGACCACCCGAGTTGGGCATTTGTTTTCCATGTTTGAAATGATGGGCTGAATCTCGTTTCAGGAACTGAACTTACCAGATACGGATCTGTAGACAGGCAGTATTCCAGAACTTTCCACGGCTGCTGCGTGTGCCCACGCGCCTCACCGGAAACAGACCCGCCCCTCAGCCCCCGGGAGGCCCGCCTCTGTGCTGCTTCAGGCGCCCCGCGGAGCACCCTCCCGGGGCCAGGTCAGCAAGGCCCGCGTGCCGCGCGCCGGGAAAGCAGCCCAGGGCCTGCTGCCTCTCCCGTGGGAAGAGTTTGGAAGAAGCACCGAGAAAGGACACATTTTCTGGGGGACGGAGAGGCCCTCTGTGCCAGCTTGGCAGCTGCACGGACAGACCTGAGTTCAGGCCTGTGTGGAGCGCGCCCTCGGCCCACGACTCAGAGTCATGGGCGAAGCGAAGAGCAGCCGCAGCAGGGCCTGTGTTCAGTGTGCTGGGCGCGGCCTCCAGCTCTCCGTCCGGCCTAGCCAGGCCTCTGCCTCCCGGGGGGAGAGGACCACGGCCGTCCCCTCGGGGAGCAAACTCACTCCTCAGCGGTGCTGGACGGCCACAGACGGAGGCCCCAGCACCAGGACCACCGGGCCCCCAGGCCACGGACAGAGCCCCCAGTGGGCCCCCAGCAGGGCATGTTCCTGGGTGGGGGAGCTGTGTTCTCCCACCCTCTACCTTTTTGTTGGTTTGTTTGGGTTGGACGAGGGCCACTGCTGGGTAGCAAGAATTCTTCCTGTCCTTCCCTTAATATCATACAGGCAGACCTTGGAAATATTGCAGTTTTGGCCCAAACCACCATAATAAGTAGTAAAGCCAGTATCACCATGAAATGAGCCGTAATCTGTCTGCTGGTCTTGCCTACAGTTTGTAAAACGCGCTACACCTGTGAGGTGTGGGAAAGCCACACGCGATGAAACGAGGTGTGCATACATGTAGACCCTGACAGAACACGGCCTCCGACAACCACCTGCTCCCGAGCCCTCTGCACCACACGTCACCTGCGTGAAGCTCCAAGCTCTTCACCACCCCCAGCCGGACCTGGTGGGCTCAGAGGTGCAGATCCCCCAGGCCCCAAGGAACAGAAGCTGCCAGATGCTACCATGAGAGCGGCCACCACAGCCCTCCAGGGCCTGCGTGTGTGGGGCCAGGCCTGTCGGTCCTCAGGCCAGGAGCTCGGCAGCCTGGCCCCCGCACACCCAGCCTGGGCCCTCTGTACTTTCTGCTCCCTTCAGGTTCAAGAGTTGGAGGCTGGTGAAGAACATGCTGTACCCTGGCTGGGTGGCTCCGCTGGTTGGAACGTCATCTCATACACCAAAAGGTGGTGGGTTCAATTCCTGGTCAGGACACATACCCAGGTTGTGGGTTCAATCCCTGGTGCAGGAGGCAGCCAACCAATGTTTCTCTCTCATTCTCTCCCTTCCTCTCTCTAAAAATCAATTAAAAAAAGAAAAAAACTTCATGCTTAAAGCAAGTGAACAACAGAACAATGTCCACCCCCAGGCCTCTTCACCCCAAAACCCTTTACTTCCTCCCCTCTGGAGAGGAGCACCCCAAAGACCCGGAGAACTAAGAACACTACCACCCTGCCCAGGGCAAGTGACAGGGAAGGGTGCTGGCCAGCCTCCCTCCAGCTGAGGTGGGGGCTGTGCCCCTGGACCTGGCACCTGAGGGACACGGGTACCAACAGGTGCAGCTGGGGCTTCTGGTACCTAGGAACTGGCCTGCCAGCTGAGCAGGGTGTGTAGCCGGGGAAGGGAGCCGGTCTCCACCCCCAACAGTCCGCGGCTCAGCGCCCTCGGCAGTCTTGTGGGTGCGCCTGCTCCCATGGGCTCTGGGTAAGCCCACAGCTTCAACCCTTTCCCACCCTCTTTTCCTCCAAGCCAACAGGGGGTCCCCTCGGCCCCTTTCCTTTGTCCCACACTCCTCTACAGATGCTACTAAGCCCTGGACCCTTCTCTCCTGCCTCCACCCAGGAGAAAACTCTTTATTGGAGGCCACTGGCCACGTGGAATGAGCACTGGACCACGGATATGATCTGGCATCTGGCCCCAGCCTGGCCACCACCTTGAAATGGGAAAACAATGTGCACGTTCTGCCCCATGAGGGGTGGTGGGGCTGGAAAGAGACCAGACATGTGGCTCTGGGTCTGTGGGTGCTGTGCCCGTCGTTCGGTGGCGGCGGACTCACGCTGGCCCTCCCCTTGGGACCACACGCAGATGTGCCGATCCCCAGGAGACACGGGGCTGCCCAAGTCTGGTTTCCAGGAAATTTGTGATGACGCCTGAGCTCAGTGCAGCAAGTGTGAGAAGGAAGGACGGACGGGGTTGGGTAGAACGTGGGGAAGTCAACACAGGAGCGAAGAGCCAGAAACTTCTACAGTGTGAGGCCAGTGTCTCCTGGCCTTCGTGGCTCAGACCCAGACATTCGCTGTCACCGGCGCAAGCCCAGGGAGCTGAGGGCGCAGGAAGGAGAGGCACGGCCCTCCCCTCGCGCAGCCCTCACTCACTCTGCCTCAGGAGCACCCACGAGCACACGCTTTCTCAACACCCTCCCTCTACGAAATCACCATGTAAAAGCCAGTCCGGCCAGGCCCTCGCCTGGCCCGAAGACCCCACGCCCTTCCTGAAGGGCAGGAATGAGATGAAGGAGCACATGGAGACCCCACAACCTGGCCAGCAAATGCTGGGGACCCAGCTCTTCAGAGGAGTACACCTCACTCCCCTGGGAAATCCCTGCCTTCCCTTTTTGGAGCTCATTCTGACCAGAGCCAGACTGTGGGAGGGGACGTTTCTGGAGTTTTCTAGCCCTCGGGTCTTGGGAGCCACTGCAGTCGCTGTGTTTTGACGCCCTGGGTGAAGCCTCACTAGCGGCTGCAGATTGTTGGCCCT